CTTTGCAGTGCTGTTTTGGGAATTGTGTGTGTCTCTGTTTCTAGCAGGCAGCTATAACGTTTCAGATCAATAATTTGTGGTGTTAGCTGCTTAATTCAGTGGTCTCGCATGTATCCAGACCTGTAACATCTTTTGTCCAGTGAATGCAAATGTGGATGCTTGTTTTAAAAGCTGTCCCCGGGGGCAGTGCTGGCTCTTCCAGCCTACAGCTGCTGCTCTCTGTACTTTGAACTGACCTTCCTGGTCTCTCCTGGGCGGTGGCATGGTGGCCCCTCTCCCAAGGTGCTGTGTTCATTATCCAGCTTACATCAGGACACACAAAGCATTTGGTCTGACAGCGCTTGGCTGCAGTTCTGCTCCAGCTGTAGCTACACAAACACTGTAATTCCAATTAGTAAACAGCCTTGGAGAAGAAAGCTATTGTGAAGAAGAGTCAATGATGGTCTTGTTCAAAGGGTCTTGGGTATTATAGTATTTACTAGATGACAGAAATTTTGTAGAAGCAATCCTGGGATCTGGCTGAAGAACCTCATTTGTCTTGTATGTTTCTGCTCCCCCCATGCCTTTCTTTCCAGATAATAGTAGACGATGATGACAGTAAAGTCTGGTCACTGTATGATGCGGGACCTAGGAGCATTCGGTGCCCACTCATATTTCTCCCTCCTGTAAGTGGAACTGCAGATGTGTTTTTCCAGCAAATTTTGGCGCTGACTGGCTGGGGCTACAGAGTTATTGCTGTGAGTATTCTCAGTCCTGCATCCAAGTTAGCATACATGTGCTTGTTGCTCTAATCGGAGGTTGGATAATGAAAGTGAACGTCTTTTAAGGGATGTTAAGTTGCACCACCTGATGCTAAGTTGCACCCCAGAGTATGTAGCATGCAGATCCAGGCTGAAAACTGCTGTATGTTCACAGCAGCATTTACTCACACCCTTGCACATATGCATTATTAACATCTTGGTCTGTTTTCAACCTTGTGTGCCCTGGCCACCACATCTTTGCCTCCAGCTGGATTTTTTGTTAGTCATGAGGCTTTGGCTTAGTTCATGCTTTCCTTAGGGATGGTGGATAACCTGGCTCTTAGCCTGCCTGGCTGCAAATGCTAAGTCACGCCTTAAAATCCTCCCAGCATGCTGGTTTGTGGCTTCTCAGCTCCAAAGCTGAATTGCAGTGATTTTCTACAACAATATTTCTGCTAAACAGTATGGCTTTTGCAGTACTGCTGTTTCTCTAGCAGCAAGTAATGATTTCTATACCTGCCAACTTTACATGCTGTGAAATTGCTGAAAAATCATTCCAGCCTCTCATTCCCCCCATTACAGGATGAAGCAATGCTGCACTTTTCCCAGCAAACTTGCTCTGGGGTGCTTTCAGTTGTGTATTTTTGTGCAGGCGAGGGGGAGGTGTTCACACCCTGACTATAGGGACCTTGCTGAGGGGCATGAGCCTTATGGTACAGGAGAAGCAGATTGCTGTCTTAAAACCTTTAATGTCAGAATTGGTGTGACTTTCAAGTGGGCAGCTGACAGGTACTGATCAGAGACGGGCTTTTTCTAACTTCTTGTCGTTTTAGTTGCAGTATCCAGTGTACTGGGATCACCTTGAGTTCTGTGATGGATTCAGAAAATTGTTAGATCACCTTCAGCTGGATAAAGTGAGTGCTTTGAGATGGGGAAATGTGTATATAGTCGCAATAAAACCCTATTGCTTGAAAGCGTCTCATTTAAGAGCAAGTGTACAAAATATGATAGAAAAATGCAGCCTATAAATAAGGAAGCTGTATTGCAATTTTACTTTTGAAACAAGTTTATTTTTGAAGGTGAATACCCTTGAAAATTTTCATACTTGGTCTAAATTCAATTACTGTTCTAGGCTTATTAAATTGTACCGATTAACTAGTTTTTCATGAGATACTATAGAAGTTATCCTTCCTAACTCATGTAGTACGGAATACCACAGTAAAGTATCTTGGATTGGGCTAGCTATTGAAAACAAAGTGAAATGTTTGAATTTTCCTTAAGCTTGGTGAGCAAACAAATTTGAACCGTGTCCCGGAAACACTTCCTTTTTTCAGTATTTATCATGTTTATACCACACATAAAACCAAAAACTGAATAGAAGAGTTTCTTTTAAGTAACAAGTTATGAGGACAGGGTAAAACTTGCATGACTTATTTTTGAAATGAAATACTGTGCTTAGAGGCTGCTTATTTCACAAGTTTAACATGATCTGTTTTTTTTCCCTTGTATTAGGTTCACCTCTTTGGAGCTTCTCTGGGAGGTTTTCTGGCTCAAAAATTTGCTGAATACACACACAAATCTCCCAGAGTTCAATCTCTCATCCTGTGTAATTCCTTTAGTGACACTTCTATCTTCAATCAGACATGGACAGCAAACAGGTAAGGAAGACTGAGACAAGCAATCATATCTGTGGCCTTAATTTTTTTGTAACGAAATGTCATACTCATCTGGTTGGATGTGTGTCTAACCTGTTCCCAGCTGGGGGGAGGGAGGTGCAGGGTGGAATATTTGTGACATGTAAAGCCACCCCATGAGGAAAATGTAAATTTTCACAATTGGGAGTGTGGAATTTGACAGCTGAGTTGTCCTGTGATCCTCTGTGGATGTGTGGTCAGATTTAAGAACTCTGCCTGTTTTCTAGCAAAGCCATTTATAGTGAGAAAAGTGTTATTCACCATGTTTAAAATACCCTTTTGCAATGTAAGACCAACAGCTTCCCAGAGCATTTCAAGCACCTAGCTGCAAGGTTTTCTATCTCTGTGCTCTTGAAGCTTCTTCAGGATTTCATTTGAAGTTAAAGCACAATGTTAGTGCAAGGAAAGGGAGTGCTTACAACAAAGCGTCTTAATGTTGGGAGTCCTGGGTGCTTGAAGATTTGTTACATCTCCTTTCTATTTTAGCTTTTGGCTGATGCCTGCTTTTATGCTGAAAAAAATTGTCCTTGGGAATTTTGCATCTGGTCCTCTAGATCCTGAAATGGCCGATGGGATTGATTTCATGGTGGACAGGGTAGGTAGCTGTGTACTCTAACTGCTGTGATGTCAGTCTCGCTAGAAGATTTCCTTAGCAGGAGGTTGTAGATAATTTCTGATGCTTTCTTCATTTACTTACCCGTAAGAGAGGAGTAAGGAATGGATCCTCAGCAGGTGCTGTCACAGCCCCAGCGATTTAACTGATGGTGTGACCATCTACCTTACAGTTCGGTTTGTTTATGTAGATCAGAAGAGAGGAAGTTAAACTGAGGTGGAAGAGGAGAACGTGCTGGGATACATTTGTAGGCCACATGCTCGGGAGGCAGGAGCAGCTAATAGAACATGTTTTAAGCATATGTTTCATGTAGAGAGATACTAAGTTGGAACTCTAATCTTCATTTGAAGTGCAGTCATGTTCCCCTTTAAGGAGCTGACGTCTCTGGGTGTATTGTTAATATTGCATTAACTTCCTGCAGTGAAGTGTGTTGTTAGTCTGTGTTTCTCTCTACTGAAAGCTGGAGAGTCTGGGCCAGAGTGAGCTCGCTTCAAGACTTACCCTCAACTGCCAGAACTCCTACGTAGAACCTCATAAAATTCGAGACATCCCTGTAACCATTATGGATGTAAGTTAATCTCAATGTAATCCTGGTTTTGTTTTGGTTTTGGTTTTAAACACTGTTTCCTCCCCTTGGCAGGTGGGGCCTGGATATTCTGTTAGCAACTTAATAAATATTTACAGCATTAACTTCATATTTAGATAAGCCTTCTACCGACTGGGCAACAGCATGATACTTCTGTGTTGCATTATGAATTGGATATTCTGTGCAATAACTCAGCCATATGTTCACGTATCGCAGCGTTAGCTCTCGAGCTGTCGATGTCTAACATGTTTGGTTGTTTTCATTAACCCTGTTGTACAGAGAAACTGAGAATTGCTTCTAGGAGCAGCATATATCCAGTCTGATTTTAATAAGCAAAATCTGCTTAGATTCAGAACTAACTGCCATGACTTGTTATTTAGGTGTTTGACCAAAGTGCGCTTTCAACTGAAGCAAAAGAAGAAATGTATAAGCTTTATCCTAATGCCAGAAGAGCTCATCTCAAAACAGGAGGTAACTTCCCCTATCTCTGCAGGAGTGCTGAGGTCAACCTGTATATTCAGGTGAGTCAGGATTCAAACCCAGTGCACTGACACATGTAGCTAGAACAGCAGTAGGAGACTGCTTCTCTGTGCTTGCTCTTGTTTCTTAACTTGCCTGAGCTCTGTTCACTCTGGCTCCCAGATGGCCAACACAAAAGGGCAGAGCTGGGAGCAGCCACGCTTGTGGAGGGCTGGCTTTGGGTGTTTGGTTGTTGCCCGTTTCCTCTGTCCTTTCTCTTGTACTCCAGAGCCAGGATTTCATCCTCACAGAAGCTACTCAGAAGGAATGTTCCTCTTTTACCAAAACCTTGTGCTTCTATACCTGTTTGTGTTATTTTCCGTGTCCAACAGATCCATTTACTGCAGTTCCATGGCACCCGCTATGCAGCCATCGATCCCTCCATGGTCAGTGCAGAAGAGCTGGAAGTCCAAAAGATAAGTCTTCACACCAGCCACGAGCAAGAAGAGCAGTAGGTTTTTGGTGTGCCAGTGAGGAGGAGGAATCGATTGGTTTGGTGGTCTTCCTGTGTACAATCAACTGTTCCCACTCTGCCTTTTTCCTTGCATTAGCCGATTATCACTGTGCGATTCCAACAGGATCAATAGTCAGTGAACTACCCACGGACAGTAACCTCCAGCGGTGTAATGGGATAGGTCTGTTTAATTTTTAGTCTTTGAATTCAAGGAAACATCTTTGAAGACTCCAGTTTTAAAAACAAAGACATTTTTGCTACCAAAGTCTTCACTATCATGTTCTTAAGCAGAACAGTGTTTCTTTTTTATATTTTTCACTCAGCTGTATATATTGCCACATGTGGATCATGTACTTATAAGCTGACATCTATTTTTGTTGAATATTTGGTTTATAAGATGTTTAAGTGCCAGTGTTGCCATCACTTATTTGCTTCACGTGTTGTTGGTTTCTATTTGAAATAAAGCGTTTGAATTTTTAACTTTGCTGTTTAAAAATGGTTTTCAATAAAACTTCAATTTCTGCAAGTGTCTCATTTTGACTATAAGAGAACAGCACTGTAGCTTACTATGGTCCTGGTTTGCCTCTACAGAAAATAAGGAAAACTAGCACCTTCTGCTTGAATTCACCTCAAGGATGGAACAGCTTTAATTACAAGATTGCACTGGTATAGCTTGAAGCACATTTAAGGGTACAACCTGGATTTTTTGAAATACAGATATTATTTTCCCCTGGAAACACCATAAAAAATAAACACGAAGTATTACATGATGAAGGGATGTTTAAGAAAACTGTATGTCCTTGTCAGAATCTGTGCAGATAACCAATGACCATTCTCATCTTTTCAAGCTCTTCAAACTTTTCAAGCTGTAGCCTTGGGATTAAATAAGCTACCTCTTTGATTTATAAACAGTACATGTATGTTAATGTACATTTGTAAACAGTGCATGTTAACATTCTTCTCTACAACTTCTTGTGAATAGTTGAAACATGAAAGATCATGACCCTTAATGTTCCAAAAGGACCAAGTAGTAGCCCTGACTTTCTTGAATTCCCACCCTAAGAGGGAAGTTACAAACACAGCTAAGACACATGGGATAGACACACACACACACTTCCAAACAAAGTAAGTAAAGAACACTCTGGGAAACAAAGGCTTTCCCCTCGATAACTTAAAATATTAAGAATTTAAAATTTATATACAAAAATGTGATGTAAACAAGTTACAGTAAAATAGTGTAGGATTTCCTGAAGTGAGGTTTGCTCACTGAACTCTTCCTGCAGTACCCAGACCATATGAAATAACTGATAAAAATCTTCCTTCTCTGTGTAAAGACACATTTTAGACCATTAGCTGATACCTTGTTTTAGGCCAGGAAGGAAGCAGCAGCGATACCAACCCTTGAGGACAAGAAGCCCTGTACTTGCAGCTGCCTTCTGACAAGCTTTTCTGGGCAGGTGTTTCTCCTGTGGCACTGAGTTGGAGGAGTCACCAGTGCCCTCCTGGGTTACATTGCTACACACTTCCGTGGAGAGGCTGAGTCTGCATTTGCTTTTTTCCGAATGCTTTCTGTAAAAGAGAGAACATTCTGCTGCATAGAGAGTGTAAAGTTGTGGCAGGATGTGTTAATTTTATCAAAAAAAGAAATGCCATGTAACAGTAGCAAGGGTGCAGGGCAGGGTGGCTTCCAGCTTGTGGGAATTGGCTTCACTGGAGTTTTTCTGTCTAACTACAGGGTTTGGGTCATGCCCACTGTGCATTATTTGAAGGAAGACAAAGTGTTACCTGCTAAATCTCTTCTTCCGATTCCCACAAGGCCTTCATACAATCCCTTGATTGGATTTTCTCCTGCTGTGATCACGCCATGGAGCCAGATAAGCAACATTCTGTGGCCATGCTCCCTGTAGCTTTTAGTGCCTGGCAAGATGAAACTCCAGTTGAGATCCTGCACTTGCTGTGCACGGCCCCAACCAGAGCAGGTGTCTGAATCAGTGGGCTCGGACACTGCTCCCTCCTCTTTGGATTTGACTAGGCTGCTCTAAAGTACAGTTCAGCTTAATTCCTGATTGTGGTGTGATCGCTAGATTAACGTTAAACTTAATGGAGTGGGCCATGGGTGAGCTTGGGCCTGTTGGACAAGCTTTCATGGCACTACAGAATTTCTGCCTTCAGAGCACGGCTTGGCCCCTTGCTCGTGTCACGCAAACCTCAGGAGTCCCCACAGTAACCGAACCTGCAGCGATCTGTTTCAGAAACCCAGAACTTGCTTCTGCTAATGTGTCTCTTAAATTCTAAATGGGACTTCACTGCCTTCTTGGTCAAGCTTCTTAAAATAAAAAAAAAAATAAACCCAGAAAGTTCCTCCTGTCCTAGAGAACAAGAATTTTTTATTTAATTTCTGTAGCAAGGACTAACAGGTCTGGCAGTACCTCCAGAGCAGCAAGCAATGGACCACTAACCCCCATGTGCTTTACTCCTAGACAAATTCCAGCGTGTAGACACCTCCCCATTAATTAAATACAGGATATTTAATCTAATGTTTTGACTGTTTCAAAGAAGCCAGTTGTTAGGGTTTTTTATGCTTTGCTAATACTGCAGACTTATCTCCTACGAACACAGTCCAAGTGAAGGAAGAATACCTGGCAGTGCTTTATACCTGTCCATTGTTGCTCAATAGCCCTAATGTGGGCAGCAGTGAATTTCCAGTAATGTGCCAGCTTCTTCCATTCACCAGGTTTGAGGTACTTTGTAGCCAATCTCCACATCACTGAGCGAATGTGCTGCGTTTCCAGCCTGTGATCTTGCTTAAAGGTCAAGTGCTTTGCCACCCAGGAGTCGGAGTCGCTGTTCAGATTGTCCTGCAAAGCCAGGGCAGGGGTTTCAGCTGGGATGCAGCAGATGTACTTGTCCTGCATTCTCCCAGATCCTCACTCTGTGGGTCGCTCTGAGTTCATTCTCACACCTCACATTTTTTATTCTTTTTTCACTCTGTTCTATTCATGCACACTAACAAACGCTGTTAACAGCAGCTCTGCTGTGGAAACCCATGCAGATCACAATTTGCATTTCTAGTGCCTTTTATCTGCAGCTTGTGTGCAGAATCATTTCATTAAATCTTGCTCCCCTGCAATGTAGGCTCATGCTCACCTCCTTTACACGCCAGACTGGGAAGAGGCTAAATGACTTGCTTCAGGACTTCGAGAGAAGCCCAGTAAGGGCCTGATATACCCAGCATTGCTCTGAAGCTGCGCCTAAGCCACCGGTGTATTCCCTCCTTTCGTTCCTTTTCTTTCCTTTCCTTTCCTGGCTGAAGCACTGCCTTTCCCGGTATGAGAAGATGCCCAGGGTCTCAGGAAGACTCAAGGGGTGTGGTGTTTGGCTGCACTTTCAGCACAGGCTCTGCTCAGATTAGTTTGGGCAAAGGCTTGTGGTAGGCAGGGTTTCAGCAGCTGCGCAGGGGGGCGTGAGAGGAGGGAGGCTGCTGGACCACACTGGGAAATGCAGGAGGAACAGCCCCAGCTGCGGAGTTTGAGAGAAAAGTCGATTGTACGACTCCAACAAGAACTGATCACTCTGCTTGCAAGAGGTGTCTCCCACTGCTGAAAAACTCCCCACATCCCATTTGGGGACCTTGGGCCAAGCGTTTTTCCTGCTTGGTGCTTCAGTTTCTCCTTCTGGGAAAAGGAATTAATGCTATCCCAGTCCATTCCTCAGGGCTTTGGGAACAAAGGATCTTTGCTGCCAAAGGATCTTTGCAACCCCCTGTTCCCTTTCAGCACAGCCTGGACGTTTTAAAAACAGAGTTTTTTTTAAATAAGGAAAGCCTTGATGATGTTGGCATGGTGAAGACTTTTGTTTTTCTTTAGTAAAGTGATGAAATTAGAGGTCAGGCTGTCACAGGATGTCCTGTATTTCTTTTCCTTTTGACAGCTGGTAGAGTCTTAATGGAGAGTATAAAGCTACATCTGCCCTGGAAAGCGAAGGGGGCGGGGTGGTGTAAGCTGCTCACCTTTTCCCATTTGTAAAACCGATCAGCTTTGATAATCATGTCCACCAAGTTGATGTGATTGCTTCGGGCAGCAACATCCAGAGATGTTTTCCCTTGCTGAAATGAGAAGGTGGAAAAGGAGCTGGAAAAGACCGTGCACACTGAGGAGGTACAATCTCCACTCCCGCTCTGTAGTGCAGGCAGCACGGGGTGGGAGCTGGGAGCAATGCACCCAGCCAGAATGAAGGACCCCTGTTCTCCACTTGTAAACAGCTCGGTGAGGTAGCTTCCAGCTGCTGCCTGCAGGGCATGGGGAATCATTTTCTAGGCTCTGCAGTATCTCCTCTGCTGCCACAGGGGACCTTCCTCTTCAGGAGAGTGCCCCGTAACCCGCAGTGTGATGGCAGGGTGCTCTCAGGCTCCCAGCAGCATGGGTGTGACTGTCAATGGACCAGCTCAGCACTACAATCCAAGGTATGTTATAGCCTTTTGCACAGCAGGTTTGCTGACACATGAAACTGAAGTGATTTATTCAACCTCATTAATTTTAGAGGTTCCACATACACGATTAGAAACAGTTTCCTAGGAGAAGCTGATGGGACTATGAAAATGTAACTACATTCCTCACATAAACCTGACTGAATTGGGCAAGGGGGGGGAATTTGTATTCGTATCTAAAAGTGTATAGCAGAAAGGAGCAAGTTTTAAAGTTGCATGAAGAAAAGAGCCAGCCCAGGCATCAGGCACACCAGACTCTAGCCTCAGATGTGAGCAGAAACCCAATTTCCCACAGAAAAATGTGAACGTGTTCCGCCTGCGCTGAGTCTCACTGCGGTTCCACAGGCTGCTGGAAGGTGGCAAACATTCACCACAGCTGAAGGCTGTTTCAGCCAGGTGACTTCCAGTCTGTATGTGCTTTAACCCACTGCAAATGGCAGACAGGATTTTAATCTCTGCCCCAGCCTGCTTCAGCATTTTCTGGGCACATACCACTTTTGGGCTGCACAGAACTGGCCTGATTCCTTTATAATTCCTTTTGTTGATTTAATTAGAGGGCAAAATCCCTGGACACCAGTGCCAGATCTATACCAACCAGATACCTTTAACCTACTAAAATGTGTACTGTAATCCTTGAGGTATATTATTTATCATTATTCATGAGGATGATATTAATGTGCATGACAGTACAAGTAGAAGTAAAAGGAATTATAAAAGGAATTTTGAGAAGAAAAAGTTAGCTCATTGTGTGAACTGTTTTCTACCTTCTAAGAACCAGTCACTTTCCTGGAAAACACATCAGAATAACCTACTCAGCAGTGTTTGAAGGCCTTATCTCTGGAAACATCCAGATTTTAGTATTATTACTAGCCTTCCTTGAAACTGATGAAAAACAGTGGCAAAGACCACCCATAGTTTCCCTCCATACCCCCATAGAATCTGTTCAACCCATAGAGACATTTACCTTGTCTGTTAGCTTCAGATTAACTCCTGCAATGAGAATCATCTCAGCGATGTCCTGCCTGCCATGCTCTGCAGCGATGTGGAGCGAGGTCTGCTGCCTCTGCAGGAGTGTGAAAGGACTACATTTCAGAGAACAAGCATGAGGCTGCAAGGATAAGACAGAATGATACCAGGAGGAAGCCTGCTGGAACACTGTCAGCTCTGCCCTCCTCTCCCTTCTATCCCTTTTTAAACCAAGGGCCAAACACCCTCCTACCTCAAGTTGGAGTTGGGTTCCTGAGGCTGAGCAAAACTGGTATGTCCCTGTCCCAGCACCAGCAGGAGGAAGCCTTCCTGTAACTTTTCAGTCTAAAGAAGGAACCTCTTCAGATCCATAGAGCTCCCTAGGGCCACTTATAGAACTAAGTTATTTCCCGTTATTTCTGTAACAATTTCCATAGGTAGATAGTTTGGCCAAGGGAGGAAAGGACCTGTGCCAATTCTTTGTTCCCAGGACCCAGGGCTGGGTTAATGTGTATGTACTGTAAACTGTATGCACCCTGAGACTGTCTAAACTAAAAGCAAACATAAAATGTGGCGATTTTGTGGTGTCATCAGGAGAGAACATCACTGCAAGAATGAACATTAACTGAAAAATTACAAACAAGCTACACAAAGCCCCTCATTCATAAAAGTACAATTTGGTGAGACAACCTCCAGGCTTTCTTCCCATTCTCAGCTCCCCAAACATTTTGCAGAATATCTTACAGCCTGAAATTTCTCCCATCTGCTTCCAGCAGGGAGGAGGGAGCCTGACTATGCAATGTTGCTGTGCACAGGTACAGGGACATGGCGCAGCCCATGTGTTAAATGCCAGCAAGCAATTACCTCACTGCAACACTCAGAATCATTTCACAGGTTTCACATTTCCTAAATTGTGCTTCCAGGTTTTCCCTGTTTTAAAGCACTCCTCTTTAATTCTGTCCCCAAGGTGATCAAATCCCCCAAGAAACTGGTTGGCATTTCAAAGACAGAAAACAGGAGCTGCAGTCTTACATTATCTGGAATGTCAAGGTCACACTCCATGTCAATGAAGAGCTTCACCATAGCTGGGAAGTTCTGCAGTACCGCAATGTGTGTTGCTGATGCATTTTGCTGTGGAAAGAAGACCTTGTGCTTAGGAACAGCTTAGCTCATGGTATTGGAAGGACCATGAGCATGTTTTATTCTAAGACAGCTGCCAGCCTGGACCAGGGATGGTACTGCCCCATAAGCACAGACCCCACAGCAGCACTGGTCCTTACTGAGTTGCTTTGTGCTTTTGAACATTTCCACAAACTGGCTTTGCCTTTTTGTAAGAGACAAGAGCGTTGAGTGGGACTTACATGATTAACAGCGTCTGTGTGGATTCCTGCATCCACGAGGATCCGGGCTATCTCCTCATAGCCATGCTGTGCTGCGTAATGAAGGCAGTTCATCTTCTTCTGAGGCACGTTAGAAGAGATGGGTATTAGTCAGAGTTTCTTCTCAAAGGCTTCAGTTGTTACAGACTGTCCACACAGACCTCCCTGCTTCCCTCCTGCAAGAGCCCCAAGCCCCCATACTGACAAATTCATAGAGGTTGTCTCCAGGGCCAAGCCAGTCCCAGGGAGCAATACCCGCCTCTTTGTACAAAGCCACGTGTAGTTTCCTCTGGACTCCCTCAGCTGTTTCTGAAGTGCTGGGCTCCATGTGGCCTCACCCAATAATGGGCCACAGGTCTGGGCAAAAATCCACAAAGTAGTGTCTGGAAACGGAATCACCTCCACAGAGCTCACCTGGGTTTGGGCATTGACATCAGCACCAGCTTCCAAGAGCAGCTTCACAGAGTTGCTGTGACCCCCCTCAGCAGCCAAGTGCAGAGCTGTGAGTCCTTCCTGGACAAGACAAAAAAGGAGACAAGCAGCATTTCTGTAGAGAAGGCCAAGACAGAGCACTGGAATGAGCAAGCCTCTACCCCATCTTCTGAAACCATGACATGTTAAAATACCAATTCTGAGGACCAGGGATCCCAAATCGATTGTTAGGAAAATAAAAACACAATTATCTGCCACTGACATATCAGAGTACTGCTCTGTCCTTATGCCCCTAGAAACAGTTGGCCCATGGGCCACAAGACAGACATTGTGTTCACCATCTTTTCTCCCCTTCAGACCATTAGCAAACAAAAAAGGATTTCACAGAGACAACGAAGACAAATATTTTCCTGGAGTAGCCCAGAGACAGCCACAGGCAGAACTGGAAACCCATGGCCCTCAACCACTGGTTCTCCCTTCTGAGGGCTGCAGCTCATTTGTTTACAAGAAAACAGAAACAAGCAGAATTCCTAAGTGATTTAATCTGGTTTTATTATTGCTCTTCGCACAAAGGGCAGCTCATCTGGGGGAAGACAAATGCTACCAGAGTTACCACTGAAGGAGGTTTCCCCTTTCTTTCAGATCTTAATCACAATCAAATACACTTTTTAAAGCCGGTAACCAAATAAGACTAAAAAAGTTGCTGATAAACTTAATTGGGAGTGTGCCCTGGAATAAATAACAGCGTTACTAAGCCAATATTTGCTATCTAAATCATTAACTGTGTTCCAGCCACATAATTTTCCAAAGCAGGTCTGTCAAAGAGAGATCTCAAACAGAAGGTCCATATGTTCAGTGACAAAGTCAATACTATAAAGCATAGTGAAGTTTAGTTTAAAACATACTCAATAACCATTTAAGCACTTGAATGTACAAGGGTCAGGGAGAAAAATGGAGATTAAATTAAGTGATAAGGTAGGTCAGCAGATATAGCAAGAAGAAAACACAACACTTTAGAATTGCATACTGGTCCAAGGATGTTGCCTTTCACTGATAGTCTGCAAGCATGACCTGCATTTACACACATATGTTTTAGATAAAATCAGCTACCTTCTAGACCTCTCCTGTCAATACTGACTATTCAGCCTCATGACTGTGGCAGGAGAGTATTTCTAGGGAGGGGAAGGGCAAAACTGATGTGTTTTTTATTTCATTTAAATATACTTACTAAATTCTTTACACCGAGGTCCACTCCAACATCTATAATCTTCTGTAGCACAGAGAGGTGTCCATTTTTAGCAGCTAAATGCAATGCTGTATTTTCTTCCTGAAAGTAAACATCACCTCATACATGTATGTATCATGGGACTGAGTGTTCATACACCACAACCTCACACAGAGTATATCCAGCGTGAATGAAAAGGAGGTTGTAAATAGTAGCACAAGTCTGAAATAATCTTCTAATAGGTGCATCAGGGAGGGAAGAAACCCAGCTACTTTAAACTGGGTCACGGTCCACCAGGTTTGCTGCATATCCCATCTAAAAATCCTGGAGAGAAATCCAACATGGACTGAGGTGCAAATGGTTTGCAAGTGGAGAGGGAAGAAAAGCCCTGACATACCACAACCCTAGTTACAACTGCTGACAATTTGCCTGAATAAGCCTCTTTTGGTATCCTGTTCCCTGACTTTCACATCCTCTAATCCTTGGACTTTACCTCCTTTGTGTGTGGTTTTATGCCCGTACCTTGTCTTTGGCACCGTGACTACAACCCAGTCGAATTAGGAACTCCACCACCTCCAGCCACCCATACTCTGCAGCCAGGTGAAATGCTGTCCTGTCCATCTTTGAAAGGAAACAGAAATACAGTCCAAGAAGGGCTCAGAAAGGACAAGATTAGATCGTCTGCTGCAAGCAGTATAATAATGCCTTGGGCAATAACACAGTACACAGGAGGAAAAAGCACTGCACTTCAAAATTAGTTATCTTCTATATTTTGGAGTTATTCTTCTTACATTTGGGATGACCCTAACAAAACAAAGTAAACAGAACTACCACTCAGGCTAACAACTCCAAGCACTTTGGTCTCATCAAACACTGGAAAAGAGATCTTTTCGGTGTTTTTTTCATACAAATAGAGGATAATAAATAGTTCACTAAAAGGAACTAAGAACAAAAAAATTGAATTACTGTGTAAGACCCCAGTTATTGAGTGAGTCAGAACCTCTTTTGGGGAAAGGCAGATCTCTTGTTGCTTCATTTAACTCCCAAGCATCAGAGTGGGGATCACTCTTAGAACCTTGAAGACCACTGAGTGGAATAACGTGCACTAGCTCCTGTGTGTTCTTGTGCTCTGTGCAGGAACAGATCAGCCAATGTTGGAACATGCTGGGAGAGGGTTACCCTTGGTTATTAAGTACACTCTGGAGCAACAGCTGAAAGAGAGAGGGCACTGAAATTCCTGAACTTATTCTACAAAAGGCTGCATTGGGAAGCTGTGGCTGCCGACTTGACTGGGGCTAGAATCCCCGTCATCCCCAAGCCCCACTCTGCAGGAGGACTTCCGGGACTAGCATCTGACTCCGAGACTCTTCCCAAGACCAAGGGCAACAGAGCAAGATCAGACATTGTGAAACAAAGCTGTGAAGAGTATTCCTACCTTGTCTGTCTTATCTACACACATGTCTTCCAGGTCCTCCACGATGAACTCCACCACCCGGACATGTCCCCTCTGAGCCGCACAGTGGAGCAGGTTCCTGCCGTTCTGGAGAGGAGATAATGGACTACTCATTCAACAAGTCCAAAACTGTGTGACAGTCTCTTTTAACAACCTGTTCCTGTTAGCAAAGACCCATTCCATGCCCCCCTGCACCTTTAGGGCTAAATCACCTTGTGCTGCAGACAGCAAATTATGACTGAAATATTAATGCTCCTTTTCCCAACCAAGGTCTCGTTTAGAATACACGGACTGCAGATTCACTAAACCCATTTCCCATTTCCGTAACACCTTCCACATCACCACTGCACAAATGTGAGCTAAGAAAGTTGTGTACATCTCTATAGCTACATTTATGACACCTGTTTTAGAAATAAGGCAGAAGTGCAGATGGCAGTCCCCCGCAGCAGATGCTGTCACACACGATTACCGCAGCTCGCAGCCTCTCTCTCTCCTCCCTGTCACTATCTAGAGCCACATGATGGACTGATGGACCCACGTAGGAAGACTCTCTCACCCTATTGACACAGTTAATCTTGGCCCCAGCATTGACGAGGATCTGCAGGACATGGAGGTGGCCAAACCAGGCAGACAGGAGAAGCGCGTTCATTCCAAACTGGGAGGAAGAGAAGACAGATACTTACAGCTAAACTGCAGCCACCACTGTCCCCACCTAACAGGGAAGCTGTCCCTCTAGCTTCATGAAGTTTCCCAAATATTTTTCTGGGTTTTTTTTTCCAGCCTCACTTTCTCCAAATACTATTATTCCTGCCAGAGACGGTTACAGCAGCTGAGCAGAGACCTGCCTCTAGACTGCCACTTCCTAACCAATGGTGTGTATGAGCCTCACTGTTATGGAGGATAGAGAACTTGCAAGCTGTTACTGTCTTCCCACAAGCCCCAGACACACAACCAGAACAAGCCAAGCGTCCCTATGCTATACAGAAAACCAGATTCTACCAGCCTACTTCCTGGTCACTGTGCATGAAAGGAAAAGGCCAAAAGACAGAGCATATACACACTGGAAAACAAGGCTTGCTCCAGAAAGGCACTGCACCTGCCTCAGCAGGGAGACCACAGCTTCCCACACACTGCAACGCCTTGTGCCACCCACCCAGGGCAAAGGTGCACTCTGTAACTGACAGCCCAGCACCCTTTCCCCAGGGCTCCCCCAAGACAGTACACATTTGCAGGACACACAAGGGACATTTGCCATCATACACTGTCTTTGTCATCCACCGGGACATCATGATCCAGGAGCAGCCGCACAGCATCCACGTTCCCGGCTCCTGCAGCCCAGTGCAGGGCAGTCCGGCCTGTCTGGAAAGGGAGAAGGAAGGCTGATGTATGCAGAGTGCCTCTGTATCCACCAGCCTTCCTGAAAGCCAAAACCTTCTTTGCCATCCATGGAGCCAGATTTCATCACACTGTACAAGGTTTTCTTTGGACATAGCCCTCTCTCTCTCTTTGCTCTCTTGTCAGGCAGACAGGTGCTAATTGCCTTCTCCTCAGAAACTGCAGTTCTGGACTGTAATGACAGGACAGAAAGGAGAAATATTGCTGACTATGGATGGACAGATTGCAACAGAGGGGATGAGTGCAACCCCGTATTTCCAGGGACCTACAGGTCAAGAAGGGGAGACCTGCACCAGGAAATGAGTGAGTCCCACAACCTTGGCGTACTGAGATAGCAAAGTCAAAGCCTTTCATTGCAGCTCTGTGTATCTGGCACACAGGTTCCAAGGAGAACCATGAATTATCGCCCTCCCTCAGTGCTTGCAACTTCCCAGTATGGTCAGCATGGCAGTGATGTAGGTTTCAGTGTGTTCTGAAACTGCTCAGTTGCCACAGGCCCTATTTACCACTGGGCAGTGTGTTTTAAAACTTTGCCCAGTTGAGCAGATAATGAGAAGAGTAGCGTTAAGAAGCTGCAGTTCTGCAACACACCCTCAGCACTTCCTGCATCTTGGAGGTGGAAAACCCTGGGACTTACATTGGTTTTGGCTTTGATGTCGACCCCTCTCCTGATGAGCTCCTCCATCCTGGCCGTGTCATTCCGCTTTGCTGCGTCGTGGAACTCCTTCTCTGAATGAAGCACTGCAGCAGAGACAGAAGAGCAGGCATTAAAACAGTGCTGGCAAAGAGCACAGAGCAGCATGCCCCAACTAACCTCCCCTTCATCTCACCAGGTGGCTGCAAGGAAGGATGACTGCAGACAGATTCTTCCAACAAGAATCCCAGCCCTACAGGGCATGTTTGCTGGATTTGTCCTCTCCCACCATCTCCCCCTCCCTGAATACCCCCGTGCCACACCAGTGCTCTTCCAGTCCTACCAACTTCTCTTCTAATTCAGTGCCTTTCTCTGCTTGCTCCAGCTGCAAAACCTTTTGATCCATCATGTCCATGTCCTCTGGGCACCCTCTGAGGCCCAGGGCTGGTGTGAGGGCTGAGGCAGATGGCAAGACCCTCTCTTCCACTTACATCCCACTGCTCTACAAGGAGGCCTTCACACACGGTCCTGCTGTGCCCCTTTGGGCAACCTGAATCAGCTAAACAGCCCAAAACTGGTAGCCTGGCCCAAGATTAGTGTTGCATCTCTTAATAGACTGTGGCAGTTATTTGTTCTGCCAATACCACAACCGGCAGTATTTGTCCTGCACAGTTAGGCACAACTTAAAGGTGTTCAGTCTCCATGCTGGGCCTTGCCCCAGCAACCTGCTTGATCGAACAAACCTTCCTGCCAAGAAATGAGACCAAGGCTGTGACTCTGGGCCTGCTGCAGCCCCACAGGAATGCTCTCAAGGTTTTTGACAAGGCTGGTGTCAGGTTTTGTTGCACTCTGTCCGAGTGCTTTTAGGGAATTCTTTCAAGAGGTGTTTGAGGCAGACCCTCAGCCTTTTACATCCCACTGGAGAGCTGGCTCAGAGGCTCTGCTCTCTCCTATGTTTCTGCAGATCTCAGGTTGCAGTTTGAGGGTAGCATGGGCTCAGTGCAACTTCAGTTTGTATAAATGTTTCGACTAGACATTAGCCACATGCCATACAAGAACCATCAGAACATACTATTGCTCCCATTCCACTACACTGAGGAGATAAACAGGACGCTGTATAAATAGCACTACCCCATTTTTCTCTGGAGGGCACAGAAGGAAGGCACCCTACTGTGGATTGTTAGGGCAGCAGAGGTATAACCTTATCTTCTCATTTCTGTTCCTCTTACCTTCAAACAAAAAACTTTAGCTCAAGAAAAACATGAATAACACAAATCTCAATACCAGACAGGATCATTCATGAGTGTTGCACCTGCTGCCACAGTGAATTCAGTAGGATTTTCACACTGATTTCTGCAGGAAAAAGATTTTCTGTACTGTATATTGAGACCCTGTTCACATCTGGTCAGGTGTGTTAATAGGACTGCAGTTCGACAGCAACTAGACCTTTCATTTGAGTGGAAATATCAGGAGAGCCTGGGAAAAACCTGTGGAGTTTATATTAATTATTAACACATACTTCCTCCTTGCAAATGTTTATCTCCATTCAGTGGTGTAAATCCTATGTTTCAGTTAAGCAAATGTTGCTGCCCTGCTCTGCAGGTGACAGAAGTGCATTCTTACATTTTATGATCACACAAAGCATCATTGTCAAGAGATGCCAAACCACCTCTTGACATATTTGTTCTTTCCTCTACCCACAGGAACAAACCTTGCATCACTAAGGCTGCAGAAGCCACAATTTATTTATTTTCAGCAATACACAAGAAACAATTTGACGTCTGAGTTTCCTACTTAGTGTCCACAGTGGTGAAGCCAACCCTGTAAACGTAATTGCACTCCCCATCATGGCACGCACCCATCCAACAGCAGCATATCAGGAGATATTTAGAAGTTTTCTCCTCTTTCAAGCTCAGGTTCTGGCGTATTTAATATCCTTGTGGTACTGACTATCAATTCAGTTATCCCAAACAGCGTGGAAAACAATTTAAATGATTTACCCTCAGTGCAATGCACCAACTCACAGTTTATTACGCAAGAGGTTTAAAAAAGCAGCAAAGGAGAAGAAAGGCGTGCACAGAAACGCACTGAAACTGCCGCTGGGCTCTACCTGAGGCTGCAGGACACAAAGACAACCCAGTACAGCCAGGGACTGGTCGATAAAGCAGAAGTGCGAGCTACTGGCGTTCTGTGCAGCATCTCAGGGATGCAGGATGCTTTGGGGCAAAAGCTGTCTCGATTCCCGCGTAGGTTATGCACCGACTTTGGTTTTTATACGTCTTGTTATTCTTTAAAGCATCTCGGCCCTGCCCCAGAGCTCCCCCCGGGGCGGAGGAGGCCGCTGCCGCGCCCGCCCCC